TGACCCCAAAATTCTACCTTTGAAGCTTCATTCATAAGAAATCAATATAAGATAAGAATATAGGTCTGTGTTGAGGATTTTAGTCACATTATCAACAGTGATATGCTAGACTGGTATGTTCCTTGGGGACAGTGGTTATACTTGTTTGTGCTCATTATTATATCGTTGGTGCTGAGTACAGTTTCTGGCATACACAAGGCCTTCAGTGAATATTTACTGAATAAGTGAACCTATTTGCTCAACAGTGGGGAAATGGTTGAATAAAAGGGGTATCACATATGATGGCGTGTTATACAGTCATTAAAATGTGCTTATGAGAAGTTTTTAACTATATGTGAAATAGTCATTTAGAAAGTAAGATAAAACACCACATATGTAGTATGAGATAAACCATGTAAAAACACATACATATGAAATAAAGTCTGAGAGTTTTGCTAGTGGCCCAGTAATTAGAACTCTACTCTCAGTGCTGAGGGCCTGGGTTCAGTCCCTAGTTGAGAATCTAAGCTCCCCACAAGCTGCGTGGTGTGGCCAATAAGTAAATAAAGAATAAAACAGAAAAGACTGAAAGAAAAGTCATTAAAATATCAGTAGTGATCATGTCTGAATTTTGCATTGATAGGAGCTATCAGTTCAGTCGCTCAGTCGTGTCCGACTCTTTGCGACTCCATGAATTGCAGCACACCAGGCCTCCCTGTCCATCACAAACTCCCAGAGTTTACTCAGACTCATGCCCATCGAGTTGGTGATGCCCTCCAGCCATCTCATCCTCTGTTGTCCCCTTCTCCTCCTGCCCCCAATCCCTCCCAGCATCAGGGTCTTTTCCAGTGAGTCAACTCTTCACATGAGGTGGCCAAAGTATTGGAGTTTCAGCTTCAGCATCAGATAGGAGCTATATTTATTTCCCAGATTTTCTCCAGTGTACAAGTTACATTAAAAAAGATTTTCTTTCTCTTACAGTGCAATATTTTCCTTAGGCAACTGAAAAGATTATATAAACTTATTCTAAGTCTAAAGAAGAAGATTCTTTTTCTTTTACCTCTGTGGTCTTTTTCATTTTCTCTGCTTTAAAATGAGTTGAAGAGAAATAAAAACAAGTCTACATGAAGACTTATGTGCAAACGTTCATAGCAGTATTATTAATAAAGGCTTGCATGGAAATATCCATAGCAGAATTATCCATAATAGCCAAAAAGTAGAACCAACCTAAATATTTATCAATTGGTAAATGGATTAAACAAATATGGAGTATCTGCATAATGCAATATCATTCAGCAGTAAAAAGGAATGAGGTACTGATTTAGACTTACAACATGGATGAACCTTGAAAACATTATGCTAAAAGAAAAAAGTCAGATGCAAAAGATCACATATGTGATCTACATCAAGTATCCAGAAAAGACAAGTCTATGGGGACTTCCCTGGTGGTCCAGTGGCTAAGAATCTGCCTGCCGATACAGGGGACATAGGTTTGATCGCTGGTCTGGGAAGATTCCACATGCTGTAGGCTATTAAGCCCATGCACCACTACTGCTGAGCCAGCGCTCTAGAGCTGGTGCTCTGGGACAAGAGAAACCACCACAGTGAGAAGACCATGCACCACAGCTAGAGAGTGGCCCCTGCTCGCTGTAGCTAGAGAATGCCTGTGTGCAGCAGTGAGGACCCAGTACAGCCAAAAATAAAGTCAAATAAATAAATAGACAAGTCTATGGAAGCAGAAGGTAGGTTAGAGGTTGCCAGAGCCCGGGTGTGGTCATGTCAAGTAACTGTAAGAGTGTATGAAGGATCTCATCCGGGTGATGAAAATGTTTTAATACTGGATTGTTGTGATGGTTGTACAACTTGGCAAACTTGATAAAAAAGAAATCATTCAAACGTGCACATAAAGTTGGAAGCTTTTATGATAGGTGTGTGCTAAGCCACTTGTGTCCGACTTTGCAGCCTTGTGGACTGCAGCCTGTCAGGCTCCTCTGTCCATGGGATTCTCTAGGCACAATCACTGGAATGGGTTGCCATGCCCTCCTTCAGGGGATCTTCCCAACCCAGGGATCGAACCCACATCTCTTACATCCCCTGCACTGGCAAGAGGGTTCTTTACCACTAGCGCCACCTGGGGAAGCAGATTTTTCACCATCTGAGCCACCAGGGAAGCCACTTATGACAGGGAGTTTAATGCAATTAAAAAAACATAATGACATTGGATCTGTAAAAATCCATAGTGTGAGAATGTAAAAGTAATATATCAAAAGAATATATACAAAAAGCAAGTATTGTGTGTGTGAGAGGAAATCATATGTCTTATTTTCTAACAGAGAAAACTTGCTTTTCATTTGTATGAATTAAATAATTCTCTAAGGGAAAACATGAGTCTAAGTAAGGTAGTTCAAAAATTGTTCTAAGGTACTTCTGTAATCGAACAAATATTTGAGGTTTCATTTAATGTGAAATCCCTGCATTGCCACCCATCTCATATGCATATCAGTGCTTAATTATTACTCGTATTGCAAGTTTCCTGCTCTGATTAAGAACACAGCCCCAGGTTTATGCTGGGGGAAAGAGCTGCCTTTGATCAGGATTGCATTTTTCCAGCACTTCCCAGCTCACGTGATTCTCCAATGGTGATTCCCCTCTGGGAAGTAGTTTTCTTCAAGTCTGAAAAGCCTCTCTTTGCTCGATAGTCCCTTAGTTCAATTCACAGTGAAGTTAGTAGTTTAGGAAAAGAAAATCCTTTTGAGTCGTTAGCTTGTTTATTGATATGACAAGTTGTCCTGGCCTCTGTTGGTGAAACAGAGAGAAGTACAAACAGCCGAGGGCCCGGGCCGTGCAGATGGCAGGCAGAAGCTAGACTAGGCTCTCTTCCTCCGAGGCACTGTGGGGGGCTTGAGTTACCCAAGCTGGGGTTCTGCCTCCCCCTCTCACCTTCCCCGTTACAATCTGCCCAGCGATAGGATTTCCTCTGCTTCACAAACACTGGCGTTTCCCCCACTGTGGCTTTGAACGCTGCGCTCTAATGTAATAGGAGATCCCAATTTGAACAGCAGAGATTGATTTCATTGTTGTTGCCAAAGGATGGTAGGTAAGTGATCCCCTGATGCCTGCACCCTTTAATGAGCCGGCATCTCAGCTTTCTAGAGGGTGTCAGCTGCCACCAGCACGGCACAGAATTGGAACGACTTTTACAAAAGAAAAAGTGCGGAACTTGCCTCTCATTGACCATTTAGCGGTTATTTTAAACCAGAGTTTACTCTTACTATAGGCTTGTGTTCCTAATTATAAAGGCCAGTCCCCTTACATCAATCTCAGTTGAGAGCAGTGTGGGCCGGGAGAGGACTGGACTCAGATCGATGGGTTCAGCCTGGAGATAGGTATTCAGATTTCTCAGTTTAGTTTGGAGAGAATTTTGCGGGGATGGGGTTGGAGTAACTTCTCTTTAGTTTTCAATGTTGTTAACTGTGCCGTAAGGATACTATTTCCTTTCTATTACTCCTCAGCGCTTGACATTTTCTCTAGACCTCTCAGTGTGTGCCGAAGACTTCCAACAGCCAGTCATCTGTATTTTTGTGCCTGAAGACTTTGTTCTTCTGGGACGAACGATAAAGGATTAAGGAATCAGCACATGCCCACCCCCACCCCTGGGCCCTCTTTTAAAAGTTTATTCATTTACTTGTTGGTTGTGCTGGGTCTTCATTGCTGTGCCGGCTTTTCTGTAGGTATGGGGAGTGGGGGCCACTTTCTAGTTGTCGTGTGCAGGCTTATCCTTGAGGTGGCTTCTTTGGTTGTGGAGCATGGGTTCTAGGGTGCCTGGGCTTCCGTAGCTACAGCGCTAGGGGCTCTGGAGCACACGCTCAGTAGTTGTGCACCTGGGCTTATTGCACGCGGGATCTTCCTGGAGCAGGAGTCAAACCCGTGTCTCCTGCACTGGCAGGCAGATTCTTTACTATTGAGTCACCAGGGGAGCTCCCTGGGCCCTCTTATGATGACTCAGGGGTTGATATATAAATATCCCAACTCCCTTACCCCTTCGGTGGATTATTTAGAAGTGTGCATTTTACCCCTTTTCCAGAGTTTCCTGGTGGGATTACACTTCACGAAGTTGTTCTCCGTGGTAGCGTGTGTAATGGCACACCTTTTATTGACAGCTTTTCTTGCCTATATCTCTTTCTACTTTTATACCTATGTTCTCTTCATCTCCCAAATACACCACTTGAACTGCAATCCTTTTCTCAGGGCCTGCTTCTAGAAAGGGCTTCCCAGTTGAGGCTAGTGGTAAAGAATCCACCTGCCAATGCAGGAGACACGAGAGGTGGATTCGATTCCTGGGTCGGGAAGATCCCCAAGAGAAGGAAATGGCAACCCACTCCAGTATTCTTGCCTGGAGAATCCCATGTACAGAGAAACCTGGTGGGCTATAGTCCTATAATTCTATAGTCCATGGGGTCACAATGAGTCAGAGATGACTGAGCACGCACATGCTTCTGGGAGAACCTAAATTAAGACACTCCCAAACTCATTCTGAAGTATAAGGTTGGGTTGGGGGCAAAATTGGAGCCCTGAATTCTCCAGAGAATTGCCCTCATTCTGCCAAGTATTGTAGGAACCTGAGTTTAGTTACACTGTGAATTTTTAGTTCTTTTGTGGCTTGGTTGGATGCCCAACCACCATGTATAAGATATTTTTATGGCAAATTTGTTCCAAATTTCAAGTAACCTACTTCTGAATTAATCTAATGCTCATACTTAGCTACCTATATTATTTCAATCATATTTTTGAGAAAAATCTTTAGTTTCCAAAAGCATCAGAATTAATGTGAAATATGGACATGGCTAGGAACCATGGTCATATTGAAGCAGATAAATTAAAATGAGAACTTTTAAGAAATAATATGACAATTTCCAGATTAACTGGAACTGAACTCTGGTTAGAATCTCCAGATAATTTCTGCTCTTGCATTTTATTTCTTCATCCCACCATCGTTTATTGGATGCCCTTAACTCTATGAGTGGAAAAGTGGAACCCATGGTCCCTGTCCCGGTGAGCCCGTGGTCTGATGGGGAGGCTGACAAGCGGACAGCTGCACCGAGAGTGGGGTACGCGCTGGAGCAGAGAGAGAAGCACGGCCGCTCAGAGCGCACAGCGAGGGCTTGCGTCCCGGAGAAGCTGATGCTGGAGCTGCCCAAGGGCACGAGGAGTTATCCAGGTGAGGGGCGTTCTGACTAAGGAGCTGTGCAGATGTGCTCACAGAGATGGCAGACAGTGAAGGCTGTCCGTATGTGTATGTGTTTTTATGTACATGTATACATATATGTGTGTAATGTGTATAATATATACATTATATTACACAATATATATTACACACATATATATATTACACAATATAATGTGTGTGTGTTTATATATAAGCTTATCTATAATACAGTCCTTTATCAAATCCATCTTTGTGTGAAATGTTCCCTTGGTATCTCTAATTTTCTTGAAGAGATCTCTAGTCTTTCCCATTCTGTTGTTTTCCTCTATTTCTTTGCATTGATCGCTGAGAAAGGCTTTCTTATCTCTCCTGGCTATTCTTTGGAACTCTGCATTCAAATGGGAATATCTTTCCTTTTCTCCTTTGCTTTTCGCTTCTCTTCATTTCACAGCTATTTGTAAGGCCTTCTCAGACAACCATTTTGCCTTTTTGCATTTCTTTTCCATGGGGATAGTCTTGATCCCTGTCTCGTGTACAATGTCACGAACCTCTGTCCATAGTTCATCAGGCTCTCTGTCTATCAGATCTAGTCCCTTAAATCTATTTCTCACTTCCACTGTATAGTCATAAGGGATTTGATTTAGGTCATACCTGAATGGTCTAGTGGTTTTCCCTGCTTTCTTCAGTTTAAGTCTGAATTTGGCCATAAGGAGTTCATGATCTGAGCCACAGTCAGCTCCCAGTCTTGTTTTTGCTTACTGTATAGAGCTTCTCCATCTTTGGCTGCAAAGAATATAATCAGTCTGATTTCGGTGTCGACCATCTGGTGATGTCCATGTGTAGAGTCTTCTCTTGTGTTGTTGGAAGAGGGTATTTGCTGTGACCAGTGCGTTCCCTTGGTAAAACTCTATTAGCCTTTGCCCTGCTTCATTCCGTACTCCAAGGCCAAATTTGCCTGTTACTCCAGGTGTTTCTTGACTTCCTACTTTTGCATTCCAGTCTCCTATAATGAAAAGGACATCTTTTTGGGGTGGTAGTTCTAAAAGGTCTTGTAGGTCTTCATAGAACTGTTCAACTTCAGCTTCTTCAGCATTACTGGTTGGGGCATAGGCTTGGATTATCGTGATATTGAATGGTTTGCCTTGGAAACGAACAGAGATCATTCTGTTGTTTCTGAGATTGCATCCAAGTACTGCATTTCGGACTCTTTTGTTGACCATGATGGCTACTCCATTTCTTCTAAGGGATTCCTGCCCACAGTAGTAGATATAATGGTCATATGAGTTAAATTCACCCATTCCAGTCCATTTTAGTTCGCTGATTCCTAGAATGTCGACATTCATTCTTGCCATCTCCTGTTTGACCACTTTCAATTTGCCTTGATTCATGGACCTAACATTCCAGGTTCCTATGCAATATTGTTCTTTTCAGCATCGGACCTTGCTTTTATCACGTTCTAACAACAGAATGGGAAAGACTAGAGATCTCTACAAGAAAATTAGAGATACCAAGGGAACGTTTCACGCAAAGATGAGTTCGATAAAAGACAGAAATGGTATGGACCTAACAAAAGCAGAAGATATTAAGAAGTGGTGGTAGGAATACACAGAAGAACTGTACAGAAAAGATCTTCACAACCCAGATAATCACGATGGTGTGATCACTCACATAGAGCCAGACATCCTGGGATGTGAAGTCAGGTGGGCCTTAGAAAGCATCACTACAAACAAAGCTAGTGGAGGTGATGGAATTCCAGTTGAGCTATTTCAAATCCTGAAAGATGATGCTGTGAAAGTGCTGCACTCAATATGCCAGCAAATTTGGAAAACTCAGCAGTGGCCACAGGACTGGAAAAGGTCCGTTTTCATTTCAATCCCTAAGAAAGGCAATCCCAAAGAATGCTCAAACTACCACACAGTTGCACTCATCTCACACGCTAGTAAAGTAATGCTCAAAATTCTCCAAGCCAGGCTTCAGTAATACGTGAACTGTGACCTTCCAGATGTTCAAGCTGGTTTTAGAAAAGGCAGAGGAACCAGAGATCAAATTGCCAACATCTGCTGGATCATCGAAAAAGCAAGGGAGTTCCAGAAAAACATCTATTTCTGCTTTATTGACTATGCCAAAGCCTTCGACTGTGTGGATCACAATAAACTGTGGAAAATTCTGAAAGAGATGGACATACCAGACCACCTGACCTGCCTCTTGAGAACCCTGTATGCAGGTCAGGAAGCAACAGTTAGAACTGGACATGGAACAACAGACTGGTTCCAAATAGGAAAAGGAGTACATCAAGGCTGTATATTGTCACCCTGCTTACTTAACTTATATGCAGAGTACATCATGAGAAACGCTGGGCTGGAAGAAGCACAAGCTGGAATCAAGATTGCTGGGAGAAATATCAATAACCTCAGATATGCAGATGACACCACCCTTATGGCAGAAAGTGAAAATGAACTAAAGAGCCTCTTGATGAAAGTGAAAGAGGAGAGTGAAAAGGTTGGCTTAAAGCTCAACATTCAGAAAACTAAGATCATGGCATCTGGTCCCATGACCTCATGGGAAATAGATGGGGAGACAGTGGAAACAGTGTCAGACTTTATTTTTTGGGGCTCCAAAATCACTGCAGATGGTGATTGCAGCCATGAAATTAAAAGATGCTTACTCCTTGGAAGGAAAGTTATGACCAACCTAGATAGCATATTAAAAAGCAGAGACATTACTTTGCCAACAAAGGTCCGTCTGGTCAAGGTTATGGTTTTTCCAGTGATCATGTATGGATGTGAGAGTTGGACTATAAAGAAAACTGAGCACCGAAGAATTGATGCTTTTGAACTGTGGTGTTGGAGAAGACTCTTGAGAGTCCCTTGGACTGCAAGGAGATCCAACCTGTCCATCCTCAAGGAGATCAGTCCTGGGTGTTCATTGGAAGGACTGATGTTGAAGCTGAAACTCCAGTACTTTGGCCACCTCATGCGAAGAGTTGACTCATTGGCAAAGACCTGATGCTGAGAGGGATTGGGGGCAGGAGGAGAAGGGGACGACAGAGGATGAGATGGTTGGATGGCATCACCAACTCGATGGAAATGAGTTTGAGTAAACTCCGAGAGTTTGTGATGGATAGGGAGGCCTGGTGTGCTGCGATTCATGGGGTCGCAAAGAGTCGGATACGACTGAGCGACTGAAGTGAACTGAACTGATAATACAGTAGGTTCAGGTAGCTGCAAATATCATTCAGTATGGTTAGAGAATGAGATGGTTAGATAGCATCACCAACTCAACTGACATGAATTTGAGCCTACTCTAGGAGACAGTGAAGGACAGAGGAGCCTGGTGTGCTGCAGGCCATGGGGTCACAAAGAGTTGGACATGGCTTAGCAACTGAACAGCAACAATGGCCAGAGTAAGTGTGAGAGCAGACTGGTGATATGTGTGGCTAGAAAAATGAAATGGGCCAGATCACAGAAGGTCCCGCATGCCATGCTCGGGTGGTTGGATTGTTATCTTGAAGCTAATGGAAGTCCTTTGAAAGATCCTTGATCTAGCTTGCATGCACAGCTGACTATGGTTTTTCTTTCCTAGACAGGAACTGTATAGAATTAAAGAATATCAGACAAAAGCCTTTTTAATGCTGTTCAGCTTGCTGTTTCAAGTTTGGTTACTTACAGTTCTTTACAGTTTTCTGGAATGTACAGATGGGACATGGTAGGTAAAGAGAGACCAGGTAAGATGGCTCTCGGGTATCCCTTCCCTTCTTCTGCTAACATTTTCCTTAGAGTGTTTCCGACTTCTAAAAATCCCAGTGCTTGGCTAACTCAGTTTTTCAGGCCTTAATTTATATGTCTCTTTTCCCAGGAAGCCTTCTATGACCATTTTGTTATATTGCACTGTAACTGTATATTTAATTCAGACTATAAATGCCTCCATGGATGGCTAGGTGTTGGTCTTATTTATTGTTGTCTCCTCAGCTTAGAGCTTAGTACAGTGCCTGGACTATACTCCACAAGTATTTTGAATTGAAAACCATCTTTAACCAAGGCTAACACAGATCAAAATAAAGTGAGTTGGGGTAAAGTTTAGATGGTCCCCTCTGCACACAAAATGAATGACTGTGGTCTGAATGAATTCCCCAAAACTTTTTTGGCCCTTTTCTACTTGAGATGAACAGGCACCAGGAAAATAAAAACTCCTAAGAATGACTCTGCTTTCAGGAGAGAGAATTCTAGAAACACACACACTTGTGGGGAGAGGAAAATAGGATTGGGAATTTGCAGGCTGGAGCTGGGGCTCTGGCTTCTTGACTAATTATGATCTTAGACAATTGATGAAGTCTCTCTGAACAGAAGTTTCCTCCTCTATAAAATGTAGATAAAACCTGCCCAGCTCCTGTCACAGAGCTCTTGTGATGATATGAAAAGGCTTTATGAGCTATAAAATATTGTACAGGCATTAATTATCAGAATTATATGTAACATTGCTGTGAGGCTTGCAACTTAAGGAAAGGCAAGCAAGTTCCCTGAGGTAGGAGGCGGCAGACTACAGAGACCCCAACTTCAATTTCTCAGAGAATTTTTCTCAGGGGCCAAGCTGGGGTTTTAGAAACTGATTCCCTCAAAGAGAATGGTCTGCTTCATTTTTCTAGATTGTATTGCTTGGTCTTCATGGAGGGAGTTATAAAGCCCTAGTATTGGACACAATAAATAGGATTCCTAAGTAGGATTGGGACACAGACAAGGCAAGATTGGTGGTAACGAGACAAATCCTGGAGTGAGGGTTGGGGATGTGCCTGAGACATGCCTTGGATGTTTCCATGCCAAGTCAACCCAGTCAGGTTTGTTTCTTGGAGACCTTTCTCAGGTTGATGTCTTGCTCCAAATGAGCCCTTGTTCATGGCATAGTTTTAGCTTTAAATACTTTCCAAAAGTCTGAAAAGAGGAGTAAAATTTTTGAAAGAGAGTCACCCTATCAGTCTGGCTTCTCTGCAGTTTCCAGACTGCTTCTCCCTTGTTGTA